AAATATCTATGTGTCAAACATGAGTATATTTTTACTTAATCTTAAGTAGTCCTATTATCCCTGTTTTACAAATGAGGAAACTGATTCCTAGGGAAGGTAAAGTGACATGGCCAAGCCACAAAATAAAAAAAGAGACAGGGCTCAAATCCAGGGCTTCGGATTCCAAATCAGTTGTTCTAATGGCCAGTGGCCACTACATCCTCCTGGTGCTGTCTCATCCTCTCTGCACCCGTCATTTGTCTTAATGGAGTCGACCGCAGACCAGCTGATCTGTTCCCGAGGGCAGGCTGCCATTCCCTAGTCCAGTCTCTGGACCTATCCAAATGGCCCAGCACAGGCAGTCCCTCCTAAGAGCCAATCACAGCCTTGGTTGATTCTGTTGCTGTTGAATGTGGCCTGGCTGCCTGGCTGGATGGTTACAGAGAGTATCTGGGAGGAAGGCCAGAGTAGGGAGAAGATCGATGGAGGCCAAAAATTCTCTCACACACCCGAGCCTTGTTGTTTTGTTATCTGACTGCTGGGGCTGAGAAACCCCATAGCAAGGTTAGATTGTCAAGTTCGTCGATACATGACCCAATGGAGCCACGTAGGGCTGAGAATCACAGAGTGATGAGAAGGAGGAGCCTGGCTTGAACTGTCCCTCCACTGGGCGTCCTTGGCCAGGACAGAGCTGCTCTCACAGCAGCAGCAGCCTTGGCTCTCAGTAGGACTGCCAGATGCTGCGTTTCTCCTGGATTTGTGTATTGATCTTCTTTTAACAGAAAATTTATGATTGGCCCTTTGTCCTTTTCACAGAAGCAGGACATGAAGTACTTGCTTTTGTTGGTTTTTCCACTGTAGCTACTTGGGTGAGGAGGTAGAATTTTAAACTCTTTTTAAAATTGTGTGTGTGTGTGTGTGAGAATATTTGTGCATCTATTTATTTCTTGGATCTTGATGCAATGGATCCTGCTGCAGAATCTGGGCTTTAGGGCAGATCCCTGGAGGCCAACTGCCCTGGTCTCTGCCTCTGGGCAGATCTATGCCTGAATGGAGCCGAAGGGCTGGGCAATATTGCTGGGGGCCTCCAGCAGGGTGGAAAGGAAACTGGGTGGGTAGGGCTCCAGGCTCTGGATGGTTCATACTCGCTGGAAGAAGTTGTTTAATATATTGAAACTTAGAGTAATATTTCATTAGTGAAAAATGTCTTGCTTTTAAGAGGAAAAGTTAGTCTGTGACATCTAGAAGGGATTCATGTTCTCTTTTAGAAGAATTTCAGAAGTGAAAATTTAAGCCCATTGTACTTGCTTTTCTAGATTGTTTGGGTAGTGATAATTTGGAAGAGAGGCAGGTCTAAGTGACTGTGAAGACATCGGAAGCAGGATTTGTTCCTCTGAAACTCAGGAAGCATTTCTAGAGCAGCTAGCTACCCTGCCAAGGTAGTCGAGCTTCGCCACGTCTGGATGGGGGCTCCTGGAGTTGAGCAATGTAATGGCCAAATTCACCCTACGCGTAATACTCCATTAGACGCCATTGTAATGTGGGGTGCAGGATGCAAGACAGAAAGTGGATCAGATTTCCTTGGGGTGGATTATAATTTATTTAAAGAAACAATCCTCAATTGTTAAAGTTTGAGGGGGCCATTCCATAGCACTGTCTTTCCCTTCCTGTGATCAGAACTAATTGAGAGAGATATAGGAATCTGGCACATGGGGCTTATACTGTCACCTTTATGAGTAGTAAGGCTGATCCTGGAAAATGTAGTTCATATCTGTGGGCAAGTGAGTTTTGCAAAAATAAAGAAAACCTAACTAAAATGGAGTCAGGAGGGCCTGAAGGGGGAGCTCTTATGGCTTACCACTTCATCACCAATCACCCCAATCTGGAAGAGACCCACCCATAGCTCAAGTCTCCAACAGGAATGTGTTTCTATTTCACCATCCCAGCAGGAGGAAGGAAGATTTTTCTCCTTGCCTGGCAACAAGTCAGCCCTTTTCATAACTCTGCCAATGAAAAGCACTACATTTGGAACTCCTTGTTTTCTCCAATGGACTGTGTTTGTAAAAGCCCAACTCACAACCCTCCACTCACACCCCAGCCCACCCCTTTCTTCGATAAAAGAACATTTCTCTCCTTTGTTCTTCTTCAGGCTTGCCTATGGTTTGGTCATAGCTTGCATGTCTAGAATTGTAATTGTTATTCCCAAATAAGCCCATTTCTGCAGGTAAAATAACGGGCACTTTTATTTTTTGAGGTCAACAGTTTCTTAAAGTAAATCCTGGAATCAGACAGACTTATCTACCCATCCCAGGTAGCAGTGGAGAACTTCAGTTCTCTTAGCAGCCATCCTCTCTGCCCTCTGCCCTCTCCCCTAACATTTATAGAGAGGAAGAGCAGAGCAGAATATAGACTAATCTCTAAGAGAGTAGAGTGGGAGAAGTGGTCAAGCTACACATGTCCAATTCTTGCCCCCAATGTACCAACACAGGGAAAAAGCCCAAGTGTTACATGGAAAGATGTCCCTCTACAGGGAAACACCATACAGCAAAAAGGAGGTTCCCTCTCTCAACAAGTCTGAAAGATCAGCTGGAGATAAACATTAATGTAATACATACTGACTATATGAATTTTTGGTACAAGACACATACTTAGATACTGAAAAGGGATGTTTAATAAGGGAACATTTCTGGAAGCAAGCAGTGGCCATAATTTAGTGGAGAGAAGCACCCAGCTTTAAACAGTCTGAGCCAATGAAATGGGGAGAGCTCATGATGAGCTCGAACTGTGGTAAAATGAAAAAGACCTCCCGATATGACTAACATAGGGTGCTCAGGATCTGCAAGACATGGGTTAATGCCATCAATGTCAGTAGTCATAAATGCAATATGAAGATTAGACAACATTGCTCCAACTGGAATGTTCACAGGCATGGGACTCTCCCGATACAGCGAAGTGGGGGGCCCACAGATGGCAGCTGTGAAGGGGAGGGTTCTGGGAATTCCAGCAAGACAGGACTGTTGGCGTTAGACATCATGAATGGCGGTCCTCTCATCTGATTTATTCCTAGTTCAGTAAATCGGAAGTGCTTTCCGGCTTACCTCCTTAACAAAAATTCACTTAAAGTTTTCTGTAGTGCAAAAAGAAAATGGTTTTTTGATTTGTTTGCTTTTTGTCTGACCAGCTGGGAGATACCTGGGAGCTGTGGGTGTGTAGGCTCAGTTGTGTGATGCTTTCTTCTGAGTTTTCTGTTGCGTAATTGAAAATGGTTTGAAATCCTACAACTTCTGAGTAGGAGACTAGGGCAGGCAGTAACACACACTTTCCAAAACAGTGGATAACTCAGAGGCCACATTTTCTTGATTTTGGAATGCCATTTGTGAATTTTGTATTGTGGATTTTCCTTTCCAAACACTTTTTTTTAGTGACATAACCCATTTGTCTTCTAAGAGCACCCAGAAAATGGCAGCTGAAAATTACAGAAAGGGAAAATGGATAGAGAATTAAAATGAACTACAGATGAACACATAGATAATTGAGACAAGGTGAAATTTTTCACTTAATCTATTTGCTGCCTGTTTTACATGGGTTAGTTATACTTACATGTGTGTAAGTGGTATGGCTAGATATGTAAACTAGTTATTAAATTAGACTGGCTAATCCTAACATTATGAGATGTCTGTCTGTGTTGTATTGTATAGAAGTTAATGTGATTGCGGGCAGAGAGACCCAGGTGACTTCTTGGGGATCTGTTTCCATCTCTAAGATTCAGTGAGTTATTTGCTTGCTATCAAATAAAATAAAATAAAATAAAGTAAAGTAAAGTAAAGTAAAATAAAATAACTGAGCACAGTGCCTGGAATGCCTGGAAGCTTCTCTAATACTTAACAACATAGAGGAATATTTACTGTATTTTAACTTGAAAATGATTATAAAATAGTATGTAAAATATTATGTAAAATACTATCCAGTAATACAGAATTCAACAAGTAGTTATTAAGCTCTTATATACCAGACCCTCTTTTAGGAACAGGGATACAAAAAGTAGATAGGGAAGAACTTATCATTCATTATCTTGTGTCTCATCTAATTTTGGGCCACAGAATTCATTGGCCCATCTTGCTGGTGTCCTCTATAGATAGAAAACACTTGTTTGTTTTCCCTTGTTATATTTCAGAAGCCAGAGGTTGACTTCGTGCAGGTATTTGGCCATAGATACCTGAGTGGGCATCTGGGGAGGCAGTCAGATGCGCCCTGCCCAGCTTCTCCTTCTGTGGACCAGCTCAGTGCTTTGGAGAGGCTCATTTGTCCCCCGCTTTTGCCCAGGAGCAAGGACTGGAAGTTGAACGCATTAACTGAGTACTCTAAGGCACTAATGTAATCACCACCCAAACCCACCTGGAAAACTTCCGTTCTGGGGAAGCCTTTGCTGGGAGAGTCATTGTGGTGATTCTTTCCCTTCTTCATGTGCTTTCATTTGTTATTTATTGTTTGGACCTTTTAGATTTTTATTTTGGGGAGAGAGACTTAGAAACATAGTTTTTGGTCCGTGGCTGATTGAGCTTGTGAGCAAAACTGGTGGATTCCCAAACCGGACTTTGACCCTGGGGCCCTTTGGGAGATTTGGGTTTGCGTGGTCTGCTGGCCATGCTGGCAATGCCCGTGCCGCTCCTCCTCTTTGCTTGCCCACGACATGGTCTCAAGTGGGTCTGCAGGTGTCTGTACCTTACTTACTACCAGAGGTGAGGGGGATTTTCAACCCCTTTTCCAATCATTTCATGAGTTAAGAGAGCTGCACTTACAAACTTATTTTAATGAAAGAAAAGCCCCACTGAGTAGTCACTGTGAAAGTTTTTATTCCAGTGAGAGGAGAAATTAATGGTATAATAACCCCAGCACCTGAAGAAACGAAGCTTTTTAAAAATTGAATTAATATTTGTAGCTATTCATTCCCAAGTCTTTGCTTCCATGGCCCCTCAAATGAGAATGCAAATTACTGACCGACCTTTCGATATTTCTTTCAGGGACACCTGTGTGGTTCTTTGTGAAAATTGCTCCAATTCGAAACGAACAGGATAAAGTGGTCTTATTTCTTTGCACTTTCAGTGACATAACAGCTTTCAAACAGCCAATTGAGGATGATTCATGTAAAGGTTTGTAATTCTGATTCGTACAAATGTATTTATGCCTTTTTTTTCTTTTGCCTGTATGGTGACACGGATTATAGAGAATTTGAGGTTGCCAAGGCAATCTCTGCACAAAGATCAAGGTTTAAACCTCGATACGTGCTGGGTAAAGCATTGTATCACTTTGGAATGTATGGGGCGAGGAAAAGGGGAGGGGAAAAAAGCCTTGTTTAGGAAGGCATTCCGACCAGTTTTATGCCTTTTCAGATGAACCCTTTCCAATAAAGTTGAAACAGAAGAACGTAGTTGGGCACCTCTGGTATCATCAGAATCTTTTTGGGTTTTCATGTGACAGGTGTCAGTCACCCAGACGAGGCAGTCCACGCCACATTCATCTTTTTACATGTATACTTCTTCAGATTTGACCGAGTTCTAGCATTTCAAGATTGTTGAAGTAGACTTTCATTTATTTCTGCCTGGGTGGTTGTGTAAGTGTGCAGCCAGTTAATTTACGACATTTGAAACGTGGTGTGAATGAGCATGAGTAACACTTCAGTATGTGTCATTTAATCAGTTGTGACCACCGAGGTGAGCACTCACCTCAGCCACATCGCATGCGGGCACCGTTGATGTAACACCGGTGACTGGGGAAGGAGATGGCTCAGAATTTCTAGAACAGCTGCACCCCTGAAGAGGATATGCAAAAGATGGCATGTTATCCCAAGAGGCTTGGGATTAGAGGGTGTCCCAGCACCTTTTCCATCCCTCTCCTCAAGTGATCACTCATGATAAGAGGCTAGGGGGGAGTTCCTATTGCAGTGCGTCCTGGCTCTGTGGTGGACTGCCCGGCCCTACCGGAGAGCTCCGCACCTGTGGTTTTCTGACACGCAGCAGAGAGAGGAGAGTGGAATCCAGAGGAGTCTAACTGGGGCATAATTATTCTCGAAGTCATCACACTGCGATTGTTAAATGGGCATTATAGGAGGAACTAAAAAGCATTAATTATGTGGATGCTCTCTCGGGGGCTGTGTGCTTTGAGGGTATTTAAAATCCTGGCACATTCGGACGCTCACATTTATAGAGCTCAGAGAACAATGCGGTGTATACCAGTGCATTCTACTTTTTTAGACTACCTGATAGTGTAATAAATCAATCGCAGCCTGACTCTGGGTTTTTAGACTACCGCAGATGTAAAACCTTGCCGCCAGTGTCTCGGCCTCCTGCAGTTGCCTTTTCTCCTGCAGATTTTCGATTCCCTGATTTCTCGCTTTTGACTTGAGGATTTCTCAGTGCAATAGCTACTGTGTGGTGATAGACTCAGTTGCAATTAAGTGTTATCTTGCTACCACCTAGAGAGGCCGTTTGCTTTTTTATGTGAATGAACACATAAATAATATTTTTAAGGGAATCAGATATTTTGACACTTTTTTGCCAATTTTCTCTTAACAGTTTAAAATATGTGATGTTGTTGAGTCAGCCTGTGTGGTTTTCCTCACCGCTGGGACATTTTTAGGTGACATGGAGGTGTTGTTTCATGGGAAGGGCATACTCAACAGAGAGTATGTCACATGTCACCTAGTGTCTGCATCTGATTCTCATGAAACCCAAAAGAAAAGTCACATTTTGTGTGATAAATGAGACTCCCTTGTGTGAGTGATGTGGTGAGACTCACTTAGGTTTATTTTCCAGAAATAAAATGCTCCACTTTATTTTACCTGCCTCAGTGATGTATTTCCTTTTTGATACAGTGTTGGTGTATACACACACACACACACACACACACACACAGTTACCTTTTAGCCAAGGGAACCAGATATTAATTCTCTTTGTCTGTGAAATAAATAGTAGTACACGTGGCTTGATTCGTAAAAATTTAAAACACACGCCACACACATGTGCTTTAGCCCTCAGTACAGACGTGCCACTAGTGCATCATGCCTCACGCCTCCTCCAGGACATGTCTTTATAAGCCCGTCCATTTGACATGCCACAGCAAGTATGTTTAGGCTTTTGCTTGTCATGTCACTGTGCCCCTGGCCCATGTTGATTTGGTGATCTGATTAAGACAAGGTCAAATTTCATACTAGTCTGTTTATGATGGAAGACCATGATAATTCTCCAGGCCTTGTACATCGTAAGCCTATAAACTGCAGTTCTGGCCGCGAGGACCACATCGAGATGGAAAATATGCTGCCGTGTGACTGGGCTGCTCTCTGCCTTGACGTCTCTCCTGGGATGAGCTCTCGAGTTGTGCGTTCCCCGCAGATCCAGTGGCGTTTCAGTGCAGCCCTTCCGTCAGCATTTAGGGTCTTCCGAGTCTGGACCCAGGCTTGATTCAAGTTCACTTTTGAGCTGGAAGTGGAAGGGTGGATATCCCAAAACCGCAGAAGAATCCCCAGATAGTTGCCCTTTGGCATGGCAGCACGAGATGTTGTCCCACCATCGGATTAGTCTTTTTTAAAAGTCAGTTGTGCTCTGTCTCTAAACGACTTTGTTTTCTCTGATCATGTAGTGCCTAACTTTGGGCTTGGGAGTGGGGTGAGTGCATCCTGAGAGTGGATTCAAGAAGCCACTTGGTGCCTAATATTTTCCCACAAACAACCCACAACGGGGTAAACACATGGCAACAGTTTATTTAACACCTGACACCAAATAACTGGCCTTTTTCCTGGAGCTCCGAGCATAGGCGAGCACGGGCCCGGGGAACACTCCCTGAGCCCCCTCGTTCATGAATGTTTCCGTTCTCATGATCCTTTCGATGAATAATCCAGGCCCCTGATTCCCTCACCTTCTCTCCTCTGTCCATCTTGGGGCTTATTCCCTGGAGTTCTGACAGCAAGTGCCCCCGATGGCGTGGAGCAGGAATGAATGTCAAGTCAGGTTTGTGGTTTGGTAACAGCTCTGGTCTGTATGTGCGTGCGCATGCGTGTGTGTGAAGGCTGAATGAGAGAATAAATGGGAGAAATGAGAATCTGTGATGCTCCGGGGGTTTCATTAGTTTCTTATCTCTTGCTTTTCTGTTATTATGCGGAATTGGGAGCAGCCTGCAGAATGTTTTTCTCTGTCCCATTCTCCCTTCTGAGCCGGGAGCCTTGGGCAAGTATGTTGAGAAGAATCCGGTATAAGGCGCAGGATCTTTTCTCTGCATTGCTCACCAAAGAATGAGTCACCCCTCTTTTTTTCTCTTATCCCACCAAGTAATCTCATATTAAAGGAGCAAATCCATTTTCAAAGATACATGTTTTGACTTCTAAATTTATAGTTAAACCCGAGCCAAAAGCAGACAACAAAAGGAATGGAAAACTCCAGAGGAGATTTTCGCAGGCCAGAGATATAGAATATTTGGAAATGGGGTTCTGGCTGGCTGGCATAACTGCCTTCCTGTCTGTCTGTGCCTTCATGTGGGATACTCATGAGGCACTCTTGGGAAAGAAACACAGTGACGGACACAGGCCACAGACCTCCTCTCCCCTCCAGTATTAATGTTTTATCTTGTTCCCTTAGGATTATGGAAAGGTGATGATTTTCTGACAGCCACTTGAAGACATCATTGTAGATTTCTGGTTATTTGTACATTAATAGGGAAAAGACAAGGGAGGAAGACTCGAGGGCATTTAGGCAGTGTCCTTCCTGGCCCCCTGTGTCCCCTGTTCTCTTCTGCATATTGGGTTATGGCACCAGCTCCTCTAAGAGAATCTAACTCCAGCGGTTAGGACAAGCCTGGCCTCACAGCCTTCCCATGGGGGTGGGGAGACCTTACAGGAGTCTCTGTAACTTCTGCTCAGAGGGGCGTGACAAGGAGGGGCCTGTAGATTTGTCTTTTCTGGTACCCCTGGACCTACAGGTCATCCCAGAGCCCTCTCTTCTGGCCTGCGAGGGATACAGGGTTGTGTGGGCTAAAGTAGCCTAGTGGGGGGCTCACCCCAATTGAAACCTACAGCCGTTGTGGGGTCAGGGAAAAGGGGAGGGTCCTTGCTGAGAATGGAGAAAAGACCCAGTGAGTACTTTTGAGTGACTGTTAGGTTATGTATTATGCCCCCCTCCTTCTGTCCTTTCCCTTTCACGCTTCCCCTCCCCTGGCCACCGTCCTCGCACCCCAAAGGCACCCAGTAAGTGTGTGCTGAATAAATAGGAGTCTGCCTAAGGGAAATGGGTGTACACAGGAGGGCGTGGGTAGTTTTGCTGGGGGTAGAGCAGTAATCGGAAAAGGCTTCCTGGGAGGAGAGTACGTCAGCTTTCTTTCTTTTCTTTTTTTAAATTATAGTTTACTTTCAATGCTATTTTGTATTGGTTTCAGGCATACAGCATAGTGGTTAGACAATCATATGCTTTACAAAGTGTTGCCCCGATATTTCCAGTACCCACCTGGCACCATACATAGTTTATACAATTATTACCGACTGTTTATTTCCCTATGCTGTGCTTTACATCCCTGTGACTATTTTGTGACTACCAATTAGTGCTTCTTAATCCCTTCACCTGTTTTCATCCAGCCCTCTTACCTTCCCCTGCTTCTGGCAACCACTGCAGCCGCCTTTTCTGAACTACGTTCTCATTGGGGTGTCCCCTTCCTGTTGGCTGATTGGAAGGCAGGAGATTCATTTTTTCCAGGGATGTTTCTCCTGATTGCTCTACTATAAGGGACGGCGTTGGTCCGAGGTGGACATTTTATCATCTATCAAACCCTTCGGCTTCTCTGCCTGTGTTTTTAATTTCATTGCATGGCGGTTAGTCCAGCCACCCAAACCAGGAACCGGGAGCCACCGGGGTTGCCTCTTCTCTCCCTCTGCAGCCATTGTTCCCCGAGCCCTGTTGCCTCTAGCTGTGCATCTGTCCTCAAGTTTCCCCTTGTTGCCCGGCCCAGGTTACCACCTGGTCCAGGCCCACACAGTGTCTTGCCTGGCATCCTGACATCCTTTACCTGTCAACGTTTTGTTTTTATGTGTACTACCCACACTGCCATTCTGTCCTTCGTAAAAGAACCCAGTGTACGTTTCCTCCCCATCGTAATTCAGCTCTTCCAGTGGTTCTCCATGGGTTTTAGGATGAAGTTCAAATCCTTTAACTTGCTGTCGAGGTTCTCACCATCCAAGTTTTGCTCGATTTGGCCCCTGACAGCCTCGTTAGCGTCACGTCAGGCCATCGTCTGCCTCTCCTGTCCTGCGGGCTGTGCCCCACTCCCCGACCGGGCAGATTTCTTACTCTCCACTGACATATTACCCAATTCTGTGATTTTGTGCCTTCATGGGTGCTCTTCCTTCTGTGTGGAATGTCTGTTTCTTTTTTCTGGAGTTTTTAACTCCTACCTATCTTTCATGATTTTGCTCTAATGTAACCTCCTCTTGAAGGCCCTCCTGGACTCCCCAGCCTGGATTAGGTACACCTTCTCTGGACAGTCTTGGCCATAGTGTTCTTTACTCACCTCTGTCATAGAACTTAGCTTACTGTTTGTCATGGTTTTGTATTTATTTATCAGTCTTCCCTACTCAAGTGCATGCTCTTTGTAGCTACAGTCTGTGTCTTCTTCATCCTAGTACCTAGCCCTCTGCCTGGTATGTAGTAGTTATGTTTAGAGAATTAATACAGGAATGAATGAAGTTCTGTCCTCTGGCGAGGTAAGGATTCCTATTAGAAAGCGTCTGCAGTTCAGAAAGGAAAACATGGGGGTGGAATTGGGGAGAGAACTTATTTCCTTCCTTCAGCACAGGCAGAGGCTACCCATCCTGGTTGAGGTGCAATGGAGAATTTCACATTGCTTGTCCATTTCTTCATCCCACACTCATTCACCTTGCTGTGCCCCCCACTCAGCCAGCTCTTTTGGGAACCACATTCTTGAAAAGTGACTCAGGGCTAAGGCAGAGAGTGAGAGGCTAGCCTGCGCCCAGAGAGATGCCCACAGGTCCAGGGATCTTTCATTACATCCTTTTGTGCTGTATCGGCTGATGGACCGGGGCTGAGAGCTCCCTGCCAGGAAGGGTCTGGGGTGTCTGCTCTACCTTCTCTTTCTCATCATTGGTCCCAGAGTCTGGGTCGTGGTGGAAGTGGTGGTGATGGTAGTGGAGGGTGCGGTGGGAGGGGGTTGCAGAAAACTCTTGTTGATGTTTGCATGTGCAGCTATTTTTTGACTGATTGAAAAATATACTTTCTGCTCTTCTTGAAAAGCTTTGGAGGATTCAGTCCCAGACTTGCAGAGTTTGGCCGTCCCTTCTTGTTAACATTAGTGGGACCCCCACAGCCTGACCACCAACCACACTCCCCTTTCCAAGCTGACTCCAGCAGGCCCATTTTTCTGCTTGCCAGCATGAGGGTGGATGATAAAAATTCTACTATCTTTTATTAAAGCCCAGAACTTCTGGAATGTGATAAAAAGAACTTATTTGCTATTCTTGCCTTACTGACAAAAATGTATCCAGATTGCGATTCCTAAAGCTTGTTGCAAAGACAGGGCCATTCTTCTGCTTAACTGCGCTGTCCTCTGGACTCTTAGTTTGCCTTGGAAAGGTGCTCCAGGGTAACACTTGGCAGATGAGAGTTCTACGGCCAAGTGCTGAATACTGCCAAACCTAAAGGATAAAAAAATAAAACCACCTTGTCCTACTTTTAGCTGTCACGTAAAAATACTTGCATGCTCTGTTTATTTTCTGGAGACCCTTCACCCCAAGCTAGGCCTTGAATACTCTGCCAGGCTTTTAGGGGTTCCATGAGGCCATTGCCATGGTCATGACCTTGATACAAATGGGTTGTTGTGTATTGGAATGGACAGTGGTCTTTGGGGATCTTTAAAAGATCACTCACATGTCTTAAATTCTCAGTAAAGATTACTCAGATGTCTTAGATTCTGGGGTGTAGTGTGGGCTGGATTAGAAAAAGATCAGCATTTTGCTTTTCCTGGAGGCCTAGTAGAGAGGCCCACGGAGGCCTCAGGGCAACCTGTTTCAACCCATTAGTCAGAGCCCACTAAACTTAACTCCTTTGTCTTACTAGGCGAATGCACCCTGCTTTTAGGCAGGTAGAGTATTTTATTTTCCCTTTACAGATGAGCTAATTAAGCTGAGACAACTTAAACAGCTTGTTGGAGATCACAGAGCAAGCTGGAGGCAGAGATGGGACTTGTATCCAGATTTCTTGCCTGGGCTCTGGATACTGAGTTCGTTACTAGGCTCTCAGAGTTTCTTGTTTGAAGGGGACCTGTCACCAGCCATCCTTCCCCCATCCCAGAACAGACTAAAATCTGCCAGTGCTTTTCCTCACCTATCCACCCATTATTCTCCTAGCTTTGGAGGATGCAATGCAAGGAATGGCCATGTGATTACCTAGCTGTCCATTTAAAACCTGGAACCAGCTGGGCCTCTGGGAATAGACTTAGCCAAGTCACAGAGTCAGAGAAACACCTTGATTGCCTCTAGTATCTGGCCGAAGAGCCTTGAGCCAGAGTGCAGAGATCTGGGTCCTAGACTGGACTTGTCTAGGCACTCTGAGCCTCAGTTTTCCTTTTGTAGACGGGTACTAAAACCTGCCCTACCTACTTCACAAGTTATGATTAGGATAAAATGGCAATGCAGGGGGAAATAAATGCTACAGAGATATGGGTGAGCTTCTGTGCTTTCCTGAGCACTGAGCCTTCATCGTGCCTCCTGGGAGCTCGGGAGGACAAGAGGGTGTCTGCTGCTAACAGCATAACTTGCAGTGTGAATGTCCATGTACATTTAGGATGTGCTTGAACTTGTCTTTTTTCTCTTCCATGTGCTCCAGGCTGGGGGAAGTTTGCTCGGCTGACCAGAGCCCTGACGAGCAGCAGGGGCGTCCTGCAGCAGCTGGCTCCCAGCGTGCAAAAAGGAGAGAACGTGCACAAGCACTCCCGCCTGGCCGAGGTAAGGGCAAGGGGTCGGCGTATCTTATACCTCGCTTCTCTGGGGTTTGGGGCCTGGAAAAATGGTACGAAGCAAGAGTGCTGGTTTGGAGGGGACTTTCAGGGTCCTTAGACTCTTGTCCTGGCTGGGCTACACACTGCGATGTGATACTTTGGGTAAGTGGTCTTTGCAGCTTTGTACTTTCCCACGAGTAAAAGGGAGTGGAGACATCTTTCTTCCAACGTGCTTGAGTTTACAGGGTTGTCAGTTTGTTTTTCTGAAGGAGCACGGAAGGAGCTGGAAGTGCTATATATACACAAAAAGGACTGTTACTGTGGACCATAAACATTTTTTTAAAAAATTTGAGCCATACATACTACTAAAGGAAAAGAAGACACGGGAAGCAAAAAGAAAATAAAAATCACCTATAATCCCACTAGCCTGGGTGGTATTCCCCATTTGGCTGGGACAAGTCCTCGGGTGATATTCAGTCTTCCTGGTATCCTGTAACTTAAATACTTAAAACATGTAAACTATAATGAACATAGCTTATGTTAGATGATGAGGGGATAAGAGAGGGAAGAACATGAAAGTATTTGCTTAACATATACACACATGTATATGACATATGTAAACATTCATAACAAAATAAAAACTACGCATAACTCTTAACCTGCTCTATGGTTTTCTCCACTTAGTGCCTTCTAATGTACTAGGCAGTTTACTTACTCATTTGTTTGTTGTTCACTAATACGCGTACACGCTGACAACAGTGTCTGTCTCACAGTACATGCACATCAGTAGTGTTTCTTTTTTCTGATTGATCAAATGAATAAAGAAAGGAGATGATGTTAGTGTTTTTGTGTACCTGTCTGGTGTAAGAAATTGCTCATCATTTGGCAATGTGAGGCAAATACCTGGTTCACATCCCAGAGCTAGTAAGTTTTAGCTAATTTGGCTAGAGGCTTCCCAATTTTATTGATCTTTCTAAAGAACCAGCTTTCATTTTGTTGATTTTCTGTAGTGGTTTCCTGTTTTGAATTTTGTTGATTTCTGCTCTAATTCTTTCTTTCCTTCTGCTTACTTTGGATTGAATTTGCTCTTTTTTTTTCTAGTTTCCTAAGGTGGAAACTTAGATTATCGATTTTTGATATTTAGTTTTTCCTGGTATTTGCATTCAATGCTATAAACTTCCCTCTAAATACCGCATTTACTGCATCTCACAAAGTTTGATAAGTTGTGTTTTCATTTCCATTTGCTTCAAAATATTTTTGAATTTCTCTAGAGATTTCTTTGCTCCCATATGCTATTTAGAAGTGTGGTGGGATTTTACAGTTATCTTTCTGTTCTTGATTTCCAGTTTAATCTCATTGTGGTCTAAGAGTAGGCATTGTGTAAGTTCTATTCTTCTACATTTGTGAAGGTGTGTTTTGTGGTCCAGAACGTGGTTAGTCCTGGTGAATGTTCCAGGTGAGTTCAGGGGAATGCGATTCCGCTGCTCTGCTGCTGTCTGTTACAGCTGGTCGATTGATGGTGCTGTTGAGTTCAACTAGGTCCTTGCTGATTTTCTGCCTGTTGGGCCTGCCCGTTTCTGATAGAGGGGGCATAAAGTCTCCAACTCTAATAGTGGATTTATCTGTTTCCCCTTGCAGATCTGTCAGTTTGTGCCCCACGATTTTGATGCCGTGTTGTTCAGTGCATACACTTAAGGATTGTTATGTCTTCTTGAAAATGGACCCTTTTTCATTATGCAAAATGCCTTTCTTTGTTCTTGGTAACTTCTTGCTCTGAGTTTGGTCTGTCAGAAATTAATATAGCTACTTTAGCTTTCTTTTGATTAGTGTTAGCGTGGTACATATTTCTTCATCCCTTTATTTTAATCTATATGTGTATTTATATTTCAAGTGAGTTTCTTGTAGACAACATATAACTGAGTCTCGGTTTTTGATCCACTTTGACATTCTTAGATTATTGATGTTTAAACTGATTATTGATATAATTGGATTACTATCTAACATATTATATTAGTTATTTTCTCTTTGTCACCCTTGCTCTTTGTTCCTATTTTATCTTCCACTCTTTTCCTGGCTTTTGTGGTTTGAATTATTTTATATGATTCTGTTTTCACCCCTTTCTTAGCATATCAGTTATATTTCTTTTCTTGCTTGTTTATTAGTGATTGCCCTAGAGTTTGCAATATACATTAATAACTCATCCAGTTTACTTTCAGCACTATGCTGCAAGTACTTTATAATAACACAATATTCCTAATCCTTCTCTTCTGCCACCCCCGTCCCCCCACCTTTGGTCATGTATCCTGCTTGGTGTTCTCTGAGCTTCCCAGATCTGTGGTTTGGTTTCTGACATGAATTTACAGAAATTCTCAGTCATTATTGCTTCAAATATGTCTTCTGCTTCTCGCTCCTCCCTCTGGTATTCCCATTACCTGTATCTTAACATCTTCTGGAGTTGCCCCTCAGTTCTTGGATATTCTATTCTATTTGCTGTGGGGGGGGGGTCCTTCTTCTCTTTGTTTTTCACTTTTGGAGGCTTCTATGGACATATCCTTAAGCTCAGAGACTTTTTTCCTTGGCTGTGTTCAGTCTACTAATGAGCCCTTAAAGGCATTCTTCATTTCTGTTACCGTGTTTTTCAGCTCTAGTTTTTCTTTTTGATTCTTTCTTGGAATTTCCATCTCTCTGCTTACATTATCTATTCAGTCTTACGTGTTACTTTTTCCATTAGAGCCCTTAGCCTATTAATCGTAATTGTTTTAAATTTCTGGTCAACAATTCCAACATCCCCGAGCATCAGGGTCTTTTGCTAACTCTGTCTCTTCAAACTGTGTTTTTTGCCAGTTACTATGCCTTGCAGCTTTTTTGTAGACAGCTGGACACGATGTTCTTGGTAAAAGAAACTTGGGTAAAGAGGCCCTGAGTGGTGTGTTGACAAGGTGTGGGGGAGAAGAAGCATTCTGCACTCCTGTGATTAGCTGTTTCAGTTGGCCTGCACCCTGGGCTCTGAATTCCACAAATCTATGAAAGAAAAAGGGAGGAAGCAGTCTTGGGCAAGGGAAGCCTCAGACCACAGTGCAGTGCAGATATGACAGAGGCCCTGCCATCCTTACACGGAGCTCTGCAGCAGAGATGGCCAGTTAGAGGAGTCCCCTATAGGGACTCAGTGACCTCCTTGCCCAGTTATTGGCAGGTGCTTCACTGGAAAGCTCAGGTTTCTGTCCCTTAGGAAGCTAATGGGAATCTGTCTGCTAACTGCACAGCTGGGCAGAGAATCCTTCCTGGAAGCGGGATCTGAGAGGACACAGCTCTGAGTCTGCTGCCACCTCGTTGCCATAACTCATTCCGCCTTGGTAGGGAGGAAGTCGTGGACAGTGGACGATTTACTCTGTGGCCTTCACGTGGGTGTGACCCTGCTGGGGTTTGGTCTGGCTGGGACCCTTCTTATACCAGCCTCTCTCTGCATGGAACAGCTGTGGGGAAGACGTGGAGGGAAAACCACCTTTTCTGTCACATCTTCTGTCTTCCTCCCTGTGAAGGAGCCAGGTCAAGGTGTAATCTGAGGCGTGTGGTCGTGGCGGCTGGAGCACAGGGACATCCATTCAACCACGTCAGGGCGAGTTAGTGCTGCCCCGCTCGCAGCTCCTGACGGTCGCTGCCTCATTACGAGGGCATCGGGTAGGTGCCGTGAGTGCTTCTGTTTTTCACGCAGGTGACGGGAGTAATGGACTGAAACAACACTACAGGTTACAACTTATTTGACAACTCATTTAGCTGTGTGATTTTGGGCAAGTCATTTCACATTTGAGAGCTTCCATTTCCTCCTCTTCCTTCTCTTCTAATGGAGGTAGGAAGCGCGATGAGACCATGTTACCCACATGAAGCATAAGGGAGATGCAGAATGCACACATTTTGGCTTTTAGTAAAGCCCAGCAATAATAGTTTAATACTAAATTTTGATCTCTGGTTCTTTAATATCCATTTAAAAAACTTTCTTAAGTTTCAAAAATAAAATATTTTTAATCAGATTTTAAAACATAGAAGTATATAAAGTAGAAAGCAAAAAGCTCACTGTTTCTTAGAAGTAACTATTTTTAACAGAGCATGTGTTTTATTTCAAATATTTGTATATAGGATTTATACTGATTTTTAAAAACAAAAGTGTGCATTATACTATACATGTTATTTTCCAATTTGCTTCCCCCCCGACTTACTGGCATCTTTGGGATATTTTGCTAAGAGCAAAACTAGTTTGCAAAACTAGTACAGAGGGTGCTGTACCCTTCACCCAGCTTCCCTCAGGGGTACCGTCTTCTGTAGCTACAGAACTACATCAAACCCAGGAAACCAACCTGTGTAGGTTATTGTCAATACTTTGCTAAGAGCAAAATATTTCCCCTTTATTTTTTCTAATGGTTGCTTTGTATTCTGTTGGATGACCTGTTTAGCTGTCCCCCTGATGATGGTTGTTCAGGTTGTTACTGATCTTCAGTAATTACAGAGGCTGCTTCAGTGAATCTCCTTGTACGTATATTCAGAACTGTAGAGAGTAACACTCATTTAGTTATATTGTCTAGATAGTAAATGTTAATTTCTCACTTCAAATTCTCTTTTTAAAGATCAAAACATCACAGGTAAAGTTTAGGTCCTCGTAAAAGTCATTCCCAGAAATAATCATTACCTTGAAGTTGTGTCTTCTTGCTGCTGAATTTTTAATATTTTTATTACCTATGTATTTATCTGGAAAACATATATAGTATGATCATGTGTTTTTTTGTGCATTTACACAAATTTTATCATGTTGCTATTCTACAGCTTGAATTTTATACCTAACATTTAGTTTTGAAAGCTTTTTATTTTGCATTCATTACAGACTTACAGAATGTTGCAAAACTAGTACTGAGGGTGCTGTACCCTTCACCCAGCTTCCCTCAGGGGTACCGTCTTCTGTAGCTACAGAACCACATCAAACCCAGGAAACCAACCTGTGTAGGTTATTGTCAATGA